TTTTTTATTTGTTGAATATCGGAACTTTCACTTTCTGAACTTGAAACTGTTTCTCCAGCCACTATTTTAGCAAAATATGCTGTAACTGTTTCTGGACATGAAGGACATCTGTTTGTTAAATGTTGCCGAAGTTTTTGTGGTTTTCCATTTTCCCAAAACTTTCCACAATAATTACAGGTGGCTTGATAATGACCATTGCTTTTTTTTTTACCTTTTTTTGCATGATTCCAAACAGTACTATTAGGTCTTCCACCTGGTTTTTGTTTACTTGACGAAAAAGACATTGTGTTAAAAAAAAAAAAAAATTAAAACCGCAATATAAACTTTAAAAAATTAATTTGGAAATAATCTTTGTTTATCAATCATCAAGTTTTACAAGTTATGTCCATAATTTCGGTTATCAAATTTAGGTTTCAGTTATCAAATTATAGTTTCGGTTATTAAATTATAGTTTCGGTTATCAAATTATAGTTTCAGTTATCAAATTATAGTTTCGGTTATCAAATTTAGTTTCAGTTATTAAATTTTAGTTTCGATTATAAATTTATGTTCTTATAACCTAAACTATCAAAGAGACATAACTTAGTTTCGATTATAAAAATTTTGGTTATAAAACATAATTCCTAGGTTTCGGGACCCATCTTTAGCCATGAGGATAACCATATGTTAGTGTCGATACGAAGTTTTCTTTAAGGTTTCTTACTTTTGATTGCTAGTAGGAAAGGATTTCGCGGCTTGGGATTGGTTAAGATGAAGTACAGTCCAGTCTGTACTTCCAAATATGTGGATGGGTTTTTGGCTATGCTGATGATTATCGTGTCACCATCCTGACGATCGTTGCACCACTACATCTTTTATGAAGGTCACAATCTTAACACCTGCTGGATTAGCATATGAATTGGCTTCCTATGAGAAACAGCATATATCAGGTTATAACACCAGATACCATATTGATATTATCCAACTGTTTTCATATGAAGTTGAACTGATATCTTGTGATCTGACCTGTGGAGCACTAACCATTGTGCTATAGACCCACAGGTTCATATTTGAGTTATATTATTTTTGTATATAATAAATATATGTTAAAAATATAAATTTATTTAATTTCAATACTTTTGATTTGGTATCGGTATTGCAAAATTTCATATTAAAAATTTTCGATAATTACTGGTACCAATACTGAAAAATATTTTCAATATCAGTTTTATAAAATACCATACCAAATGGTACCAATCAGAACCCTAGTCCCAAGTATATAAAACTCTTAATAAAATTATCTCTATAAATACACATCCTCTATAAATGCACATTTTTCAAAAATTTTCCTATGGTCCCAAGGGGTGTGCATTTAGAAAGAATTCACAATATATATATTTTTCCAAGTTTAATCAAACTTTTACCAACCAACTTATCTTAAGATAAAATTTTCATTAATATACCTTAATAAGATATATTGTTTTAAATTACAGTATATCTAAAGATTTATTTTCAAGATTTACAAAAAAAAAATGCTATCTCAAAATATTTTAATAAATTTATTAAGTAATTGGTGAAGTTGAAAATGTCTTTCATAACACGTTTCAATTACCCGTGTTACCCCGAAATCGTTTTCGCATATCGAGCTAAGAACAACATTAATAATGTAAGTGAAAGTCTTTATTAAAGTTTAGGGCAAAAAAACATACCAATCCTCTCCGACATTCAAAAAAACTCCTACGAATGCTGTGGCATTCTCTGGGCACGTCATCCGCATTCTCCGATCTCAAACATTCTAGTTGATTAACGAAAATATGTAGCCAATATCGTCAATAAATAAATACGATATTTTGAGATGTTTTGATCCATGTAAAATTGTCTATTGAAAAATAAATAAGTGAAAACAACCAGGTAAATCAAGAAGTTCCATGCGAATTATTTCACCCCACCTTTTACAGTGTGGCGTTTCACGAGTACACAGTCAGATTTGAGCAAGCAATCTGCAAGTTCTTGACGAATTTCTTTGCAAGAAGATGGCATGTTTATTTTGTATAATACCGACCGAAGATCTTTTATACTTTACTAATTAGATAATCTAATTCCAAATTATACAGGAATGCGTCACTGAAATTGAAATTTATATATATATAGTATATTCAAATGCTACATGTCAAGACGTTCTCTTACTCATAACTATAAAACGATAAAACGATGATGGTAAATTATTATTAAATTTTGAGAGGCTTGCAAGTGTGTTTAAAGATATAAACCGACTTCATTTTTTTTAATAGGAAATGTTATTCGGTCGTAAAAAAACCCCAGCCGAGCTGCTGCGGATACACCAGCGTACACTTCAAAAGGCCCAACGAGAAATGGAACGCGAACGTTCGAAACTTGAAATTTCCGAAAAAAAGTTAATAGCGGATATAAAAAAGTCCGCAAAAGCAAACCAAATGGTAACTATATTAAGACTCTTGAGTTTGGGTTCAATTGTTAATTCGATAATACAACAATATTATTTCAGGCTTTAATTTTTGATCAAATATTTGTTAATCTATTTTTCACATGCCCACCTGTTAAAAAAAGAAAGGCATTTCTAATATAATATTTGCGGCACCGTTGTTTAAATCATATAGGCAGCATGCAAAATTATGGCTAAAGACCTTGTCAGAACTCGACGTTATATTCAAAAATTCCAGGCGATGAAAACGCAGCTTCAAGCTGTCAATCTGCAAATTCAGGTATAAATATATTTATATAGGTCAATTGGTCATTCTTATTTTCCATTTATATATGGAAACTTATGATTTCAGACACTTCGATCCAATCAAGCAATGTCGGAAGCTATGAGAGGGGCAACCAAGGTAAATTAGATTTTTCAAATGGTTTCATTTAAGTTTGTTATATTTTTTTTGAAATCATTGTTATATAGGCCATGAAATCCATGAACAGGCAGATGAATTTACCAGCCATGGAGAAAATTATGATGGAATTCGAAAAAGAATCAGAAATTATGGATATGAAAGAAGAAATGATGAATGATGTTATCGATGATATAATGGACGAAGAGGAGGATGATGAAGAAAGCGAGGTCATCGTAAGTCAAGTCTTGGATGAGATTGGCATTTCATTAGATCAATCGGTATGGTTTGAATTTGTTTCCATAGAGGTCATCATCACTTTATACAAGAACTGGTAGAACCGTAACTAATTTAAATTCAATTTAGCTAATTGATGCACCAAGCTCAGTAGAAAGGACAAATGTGAAAGAAAAGATTGCACAGGCTGCTGAAATGGATTCGAGTAATGACGCGGCTTTACAAGCAAGGCTTGACAATCTACGAAGAGAATGAGGTCATTTTGTTTTTAAACCCACTTTGAGGCTGACAATTTCTTTAGTCTTCTTTTGACGATAGTTTACATCGATATTTTTCCCAACGTTTATTTGGTATAAGTAATTTTCTTTGTATTCTACTCCTTTTAAAAAACACGTTCAACGTCACGTTATTATGTCTCTTTTGAACATGGCAAGCTAGAGAGTATTCGGTAATAGGTAGAACTTATATTTAAAAATTTAGATCAAGATTTGTTGTAATATATTAAACAACTTCCAATATATATGAAAGAACATATCGCTCACACATCATTCAAAGAATTCATGATGGTGTAACATTACTGAAGATTTTATTTGTTGGATTAATTCCATACTTTTGGATATGGATTTCGTGTCATGGAAATAGTAAGGCGTTGTCTTCTAAGATACAGGATGTAGGCGTGATTGAGTTATTTTTAGCCTCGATTGCAAGGAGATAATCGAGACTGATTTTACTGTTGTCTATGTTAGACAATTTCTTAGCATAGTTATCTTTAATATTCTACTGTATAGCGTTCTTTATTTATTTCTTAGTACAATAAAATATATAATATTTCCTTCTATTCATATACAAGAAAAGTTAAAGGGATGGATTGTAACACATAATTGATAATCATTACTAGTCATTGCTAAGTAGGGATCATCAATTCCTACATCCACATATGGATGGCTCCATCAAGAAATGCCCATAGGAAGATCCCGCAGGCTCCGTTTACATCTCCATCTATAACCGTATGACAGTTTCCACATTTATATAAACTCTTTTTCGCCAATGTTTTGTATGTTCCACAATAGCTGCAGGTCTTGGAGGTGTATGCCTCATCCTGGATAATTATTATTATACTTGTTTCCTTGGCCTTGTGTTTCAGCTGCTGCTGGAATACATAATGTGACCAGGTAAGCATGCTCCAAACCACTTTTGAATTAATTTCATCGATCTTGTTTCACCATGTTCTTTACATTAAATTTGGATATAATCACAATATCATAGTTTTGGATTAAATAGTTTACTGTTTTCTTGTGAATCTCTTTATAGAAATTTCTAATCTTTTAATAGATTCTTGTAATCACACTATCTAATCTCTTTTGCCCTTTTCTTTTTTTTTGCTTTGATGTGGAATTTTTTAAAAGGTTTTTCTTGAAACCCTAATCAAATTAATCTCCACCTATCATTCTTTTCAATCTTTGTTATACCTTTAGTAAGTAAATACATAACAAATAAATTTATACTTCAGAATCAATAATTACAAATTTTGAGCTTTTCTATTTTATTTTGGTTTTTTGTAAACTTATAAAAGAATTCAATTATTTGTTTTTTGACAATAAGTAACTTTGCAATTGCAATCAATTTTTTTGAATAGTTATTTGTTATATTTTTATTGAATTTCAAAGTATAAAGATTGAAAATTTCTTTTGTTTTTTATAATAATATTGATATTACTATCTTGAAAAGACAAAATGAAAATTGTATCAATTTAAACTTGCAGTAAATAGAATATTTCTATAAAATAAAAAAATAATAAAAACAAAGTAAATAAAAATACATAAATAAAACCTTTGGGTCTATAATATAATTGTTAATACTTTACAGATCAAATTATAAGATATTGGTTCAATCCCAAATAAAAACAATTAAATAGAACTTATATAATATCTAATATTATAACTTGTTAAATATTATTATTATTATTTTTTTTTTGAAGGGCTAAGTTGCGATACATGCATGGATTTTATTGTTAAATCACTTAAGATCACAATTACCATACATGAACAGTCTATTAACTATTGCTAATATTAACTCACGCTACTCGTCCTTTTTACCAGAATACCAACTTACACCAAGTAGGTGGGTCCATACCCTGGTTTATGCTTATGACTCCCTACTTGTAAATATAAGGTAAGGAAAATCCTGTACCAACAGTGAAAAACCTTCCTAGTGGTCTCTTTTTTGGCTTGTGACCCGACTCTTTCCCAAAATTGGATCACCAATCCAGATTGCATTAACATCAAATAGGAAGGTAAAGGTCCAATCGAATTTCGGAATCTGCTGATCCAGTTTGGAGTACTAGCTGATTGAGTACGACCTATATCAGAAAACTAGCCAACCTGAATAGGAAGGATAGTGATACGGAGTCTGCCATTTCAGTTGGGGTTGTGGGCTTATACTCGAGTTAAACCAGAAGCTTTGTCTCATGCAACTTTTCTTGTTTTGACCTGTTTTCAGCCTGCGATTGTCAGAAAGACCAAAGGTCCCATCTTCATGCAGCCTAGCTTGATTTGGTAAATGATTTTTGGCTGATTGGATACAACATGTATTGGAAGCTGGTCAACCAATCATGAAAATGATAAATTTTTGTAATCAGGTGGATTTGAACCCTAGACCTTCTCCTGGTGACCTATGGAACATTACCACTATGCTATAGATTCATAGGTCTGTAAACAAATTATTATTAGACTTATTAACTTAACAAGTTATATAAGAAATGTTATTACTTTTTTTATAAACAATTTTATAATCAATAAAATAATAATATATATATATATATTTTAAGTTGTAAACAGCATTAGATACAAGATATTTATTAAAATAAGTTATTTGTTATTATATCAAACATCCTACTTCATCAGTATTTTGATAGAGGTTAATGTTATATCATTTAATTGTTATTAATTAATGTGATTATATATACAACTTTGACATATCCAGCTATACGAAATTTTAAACATCAAGTAGATAATTCACATTATACATGTGATATAAATTATTTTGCTATTGACTCAATTCCCAAAATCCTTAAAAATAATTGCATCATGACTCCATTATTTATCCCTTAAATTGTAATGCAAGAAAATTTGTCTACATATTTAAAATTTTAATAAGTTTTTAAAAAATTTTAATAAAATTTTAAATATTAATTTTTATAAC